AATTTTTTTCCCCAAAATGAAAACCCTAGCATTTATATATTATTGGGCTGTCCATGTCCATATGGTTTTAGCCCATTGGAAATGGGATATATTGGGCTCAACCCAACTGGACAGATTTAATTGTTGGTTTAATTTGGTAAAGTCCAATTGGGTTTGGACATGGGCTTCCCATGGACAAAATGTCCATTTGACATCTCTACTTGGAGATCGCAAGAAACAAGAACGGCTCCATCCGCCTAAACAAACTCCTCGGAAAATCAGACGACGCCGACACCTTCTTCGTCGCCGCTATCTTGCGCCACTTCTTCCACGTCATGTCGGACAAGCACGCCTCCCACATCGCCACTCAAGGGATGCGAGTAGTCTCCAGCCACGAGGAGAAAACGGCGATGCGCGATCAACTTCTCCAACACGCGGTTCCCCTGGCGCGTGACCAGTACGGCTGCATCGCGCTCAACGCAATCCTAAACGATGAGGCCTTTGCCTACTGCAGAGACGACCTCCGTGATGTAGTCGCGTTCAACGCTCTCTCGCTAAGCTCAGATCCTTACGGGAACTTTGTGGTCCAACACGTGCTACAACAGAATATCCCGCGTCGCAGGTATGAGATTGGCGTTAGGCTCCGTGGTCAGTACGTTGAGCTCTCTTCTACGAGGTATGGAAGTCGCGTCGTGGAGTCGCTTTTGGAAAAGGGGGAGACGGGGCCTTTGGTGGTGGCAGAGCTTTTGGAGTGCGGAAGTGACACGTTGATGAGGCTGGCGACGAGTGAGTACGGTAATTTCGTGGTGGTAGCGGCACTTAGAGTCACGCCGGAGGATCTGTTTAAGGGTTTCGTTAATAAGCTCAAACCTTTTCTCCATCTCTTGCGTAGGTCTTTTCATGGCACCACCGTTGCAGAAATAGTGGAGTCGGTACGTTAGCTTTGTCACATACTAGTCGTCAATGCTATGGTTCCTATTACTATGATAGATGTCATGTCAGATTGTATGGTTGCTTGTTTAGTTTAACTCGGTTTGTCACTAATGATGGTAAAGAGAGTTCGACAGTGTCAACATTTTTTTCTTCTATGGTTATAAATTTGGTTTGAAAACCGAAGCACTGGTTAGTGTTCGATGTTCGAAACAATCATGAACAACTGCGGAAAATGGTTTGTGTTTAGGAAACCATATACTATAACCAAATCAATCAATGATTTTTTTTGATCAAACAACACATGCATTACTTAAAAAGGGTTTACACTCCAGCGAGGGAGTTTGTTACAAGCAAAGAAAGAGCTGATTTTGCCACAGCATCAGTCTCTCCATTAAAGTTTCTAGAGATAAAAGTAAAGGAGATAACATCAAAGTAAGACAAGTAGTGATAGATATCAAACATGATACCGAAAAGTTCAGGCTGAGTGTCACCATTCTTCAAGAGCTTAATGAGTGATAGAGAATCAGAGAGAACTGCCAGGGATCGGATGTTTGAGTAAACCGCAGTGACCACTGCAAGACGGACAGCGATGGCTTCAGCCATAAGTGCTGATGATACATGGTTGTGAGACTCACAAAGGTTTGGTAGACTAGGGGTATTCTCACCCGAAAAAATGCCACCTAACCCGCATGAATTAATCAATCAATGATTAGAAGAAAGAACTATTGACAATGTCTGTCAATTTTATGAATAAGTAACCTGAAAACAATTATGAATAAGTGCAGAGAATCTATACTATTAAAAGAGAAGAGAAATACTTAAAGAAATATTATCGGCAAAGTTGTAATTTTTTTTATCTCACTAAAAAAAAATTAAAAATAAATTAATTGCGGACCGCCACGTATCAGTGGAACCCACAAGAAACACAAAGACCAAACCAAAACGTTTCTTATTTAACGACTTTTCTCCTTGGTTTTGGTGTTTTTATGGGTCTCCTCCCCTTAAGGACAACACCAATAACACCAATGTTATTGCTCTCAGAACACCAGTATCCCAAGTGCTTAAAGGGAAGTGCTTAACAAAAAATTAGTATAATAGTGAGTGTGCCCCACACAAATCTCAAGCACCATTGTTTCTAAAACCTAATTAAGTGTCGGTGTTGGTATGGTGCTTACAAAGTTTGCGGACCCCACTAACACATGACAACCTACAATTGATTCGTTTATTAAAAAAAAATTAATTGAAACAAATAAAAGAATATTTAAGCACACCTTAAGAATAATGATACTCTTATACAAGGGGTTTGAATGAAGTGCATGAAAAAATGCAGGATTAATGCAATTCACTCATTATGCGGATCTGCATTTATTTGACATTCATCATTTTATTGCAGAACAAATAAAAATTATAAATATTTAAAAACTGCATGGAAATTAATGTATGACATAAAAATAAATTGTCTCCAGAAAGTAAGAACATGTGATGGGTGGGATGCAGATGACCAATACACATGCACGTAAGTTTATCTTTTCTAATTCCTATTAAATTTTTATAAAATAATTTTATTGAACTTAGTTCATTTATTTTAAAATCCAATAAAAATTCTCTCAAAATTCTAATATAATATTTTTATATGCTTTATGTTTTATGTAATATATTCTGGAAAAATTTATTCTTAATAATATAAAAATAAAATAATAAGGTATTTATAAAATGTATGTAAATCTATTTGTATTTATAAAAATTTAAAGTAATTACAGTTTGTGTATAAAATTAAAGATCAACTAATAATATTCTTATATAAATCACTGAAATTAATTTATGCACTTTAATAATTGCTTTTGTTTATAAATTAAAATAGTTATATTTATAGAAATCATCTAAATGAATGTATGCCCTATATATATATAGTTATATGTATTAAATTATATTGTATTTAAATAGTTATATGTATTAAATTATATTATATTTTCAAAAATACTTATATATATTTAATTGACATATTCAAAATTTAATATAATTTCTATAAAAAAGGTATTTATACATATTATTTTATGCTATAAAAATATATAACTACACTAAATAATCTTATACTCCCTATGTTTCGTATTAGTTATCATATTAGAGTTTAAATTTGGTTTCATTTCAAATGTCTTTTTTTTTTATGTTTTCAATGCATTTTTAGCTAATTTTTCCAAATTTATCCTTATTCTTTTAGCTCATTCAATAAAATAATAGAAATCAATGTATTAAATAAGGGTAAAACAATAAATTTAATGATTTTCTTAATATGTGTGAAAAATGTAAAATAACATATAAAGTGAAACGGAAGAAGCAAAAAATTTAGATAAATAGAAAACATATATGTGATAGTTGATTTTATTTATGCATTATGGGCAGACAAAAATAGTCTATGTTTTTTTTTAAAATTTCATTGTAGGTTGTAGTTGTATTTAATTTTTATATAAAAGATAAATTTTTATTGTATATATGAAATATAATAAATATATAAGAATTTATATATTTTTTTTAGATATCTAACTTACATATTTTTATTATGCGATCAAATATGAAAATTCAGTAAATAGAATTTGGTAAATTAATTTAACAAGTTCGATCTGCATTTGTTCTGCATAATCTGTTTGATCTGCATTTGTTCTCCGTGATCATGATCTGCATTATTTGTTGATCTGCATATTCTGAACTGCGTTAGCCATTCGAAGAAGGTTGTTTGGACCATTCCCTTAAGAGCTAATAATTTAATGAATCTACTTAAATTTTGCCTAAGAATATATTACCATAAAACTCTCTAACAATATGTTATTAAATATATAATCCATTAAATTAGATATTTTTCCCAGTTGATATATTTTGGAAATCCCCTATATATTAATTGAGAAACATTTGAAAAATTATAAACTCAATTTTGTAATAATTAAAAAAGAGTCAATGCTTACGTGTCACTCAATTAGGTAGTCAATTACATTCAATTGAAAAATAAGTAGGTCCACATTCGATTTTCATATGTCGCTAGATATATTTGTTGGTCAAACTATATGATATGATATTTATGATAGAATCATTTATGATTGTCCTCCTAGATATAATTACTATTTTATTTTTTTTCCTTAAATAAAAGCTACGGAATTACCATAAATGACAAATATATAGATATGACAATTAATGTTTCTAATAATAAATATTTGATAACAATTTGTATCTCCTCCATCATTTTTCTTTAATTTTATATTATTAAAATAAATCAAACAATCAAATTAGCTATAAAATTAAACTTTAGATTTTTTCCGTATATGTTATATTTTGAATTTAAAAAAACCAAGAATAAATGACTAAAACTATTAAAATTATTATGTTAAAAGTTACACATGATTTTAAAACCATATGAGTAAAACGTATCATTCAATAATAAAATATATATATATATAGATTAAACTATATACCATATAAGATTACATACTTATTTTAATTTCAAAAAATTCAATGAATTTTCAAGAAAATTTATAAATTATAAACGTATTAAATTTTTCACATTGAAAATTTTTGTTATCAATGGTTTAAATATATTAGTTCTTTTTTTTTTTTTTAATTTTCTATCTTTTAAAGATATTAACACAATCGATAATATGGTTATTTTGGTATATACCATACAAACCGAATGTATGTGATTTTATAAAAATTGTAAGAGTTAGATATGGTTTGATTTATAATCGATTAAACTGAAACATGTAAATATGTATATGTATTTGTTACATGAGTTGAACTATAATTATGATTTGTGAATCACTTGAATCACTTGAAATATAATTAACTAACAATTTAATGCAACTGAGGTTTCTTATTGTCTTCGTCTTTTTTTTTTCTTTTTTTTCTTTTTCTTTAATAAAAACTAAATTGAAGTAAAAATTATAAATTTGATGGACAACAATTAGTTGAAATTCTTTACAATTTTTTTTAATCTTTAAACAAACAGAGTTGTGTTCAGTCGAAGACATATTAATTTGATGAACACTAAATATGGAAGAATATAAAAACTTTTCTTTCATGCTTCTGTTTTGTTTTTATTTTTATTTTCAAAATTTAGAGATTTGATATTAATTCTAGATTTGATCATTTTATTAGATCATAGAAGTTTTTTTTTGTTTTTTATTCTTTTAGTTAAATATATAATATTTTTTTTAGTAAATGACTTTTTGACAATATGACTCTAAAGATGATCAAATTATTTATTTTTATAATATATAATATGATTTCAAACTAAATGATGATGTATTTTGGTATAAAATTGAATAAACTGAAAACCAATATATAAACCAAATAAAATTGAAGTAAATATGGATTTAGAATAGTAGTTATATTTTAATAACCAAAATACTGAAACCCGATATCCAGATTGAACATCCTTAATCTAGATGAAACCAAACTTTTGTTTCATTTTCCAAAACATAATAAAAATAATAAATTCATTCCACGCAACGCGCGGATCTTATCCTAGTACAACATATATGATAGGGTACTTATCTAATAAATGGGCTTTACATAATTAAGTTTGAAATTACTAGAACTGATTCTAATTCATCACCCACATATAAATAAGAATAAAAATAAACTAAATATGATAACCTTATTACTACAAATCAAATAACCTTTTAAAATTTATGTACTATTTAAAGTATACTTTAATTCTTTAATTTTAAAAATATATATTATTATATTTTTCTAGATTTTTGCCGGATCAACCGATGTTAGTTCACGGGTTAATGACGGGTTTTTGAGGTTTATCGAATTTGTAATTATTAATTTTTATTAAATCCAAATTTTATGGAAACATATCAGTTGGTAGACCTCTAATTATATGCTATATGAAAAAAGTAGGCAGATTTACCAGATTGCAGGTCCGGATCAGTATGAAAATTCTTCTTATATAATTTGTAGGTATATGATTTATAATCGTAGGTTTAAACTATGCATATCCATTAATTTAATTCATTTCATATATGACCTATCCAAAAAGCCAATTCCACCAATCATAAATCTAATTTTATTAATTGGTCTAAACTTATTGTATTATCTACAGTAAAATTGTAATAGTATTGATCATAACAAAACCTATAAATTAAAATGTTTAACATATATACAATAAATTTACTTTATACAATAAATCAAATATATGAGAAGTTAAATCAATTTAAAGAAAATATTGTAATATTTACTGTGTTTATACCGGATCAACCTGTGTTTGTTTCACGGATTAATGATGAGATTCTAGGTTTTATTAAAATTTTAATTAATAAATTATCTTTATTAAAATTATAATAGTATTGATCATTACAAAACTTATAAATTAAAATGTATAATATGAATACAATGAATTTATTTTTTACGATAAATCAAATATTTGAGAAGTTAAATCAAATTTTAAAAAATATTATAATATTTTTTGAGTTTTTTTCCGGATCAACTAGTGTCGTTTTCACGAATTAATGGCGGGGTTTTGGGTTTTATTAAATTTTAATTAATAAATTTTCCTTAAATCTAAATTTTATGGAAACATATCAGCTGACGGAACCTTTGATAGAATTGTACTTGAAGAACATTGACCAATCCGGGTCATATACGACCAACAAGTTTAAAAATGCTCAATTATTTGTGAAATTCAGTTCAATTTTAGTTTTTGTTTTCAATTTGGTATGGTTCGGTCCGGTTTCAAATAAATATATCCAAACCTATACACTATCTTATATAGAAATTCAATTGAAAAGGATTAATATGTTTTTGAAAACAAACAGCTTTGTCTAAGCAGAGATCAAAATCTAGTGGATAATTAATTAGTGTTTAGTAAACCTGTGTCATTAACCTTTAGATAATCTGGAAAATTCATGTATGGTTCATAAATGCATCAGGCAAAACACATATACATGACCAGGACGGCTCAAGAGATAAATCAGGCAGACAAATCATACATTAGGCATTGAGAATTATGATTAGGACAAATGCTGGTTATAAGGTACTAAGCTAAAGAGAGATCAATAGCATCGTCTATGTTACAAGAACAGGACTGAAAGCTGAAGCATTGACATCAGTTTCCATAAGGAAGCTTCGCCTTCTCAGCTTCTACATGTCATCCGAAATTTCAAAATAATCTTGAAAGGGTGCAGAGGATGGTTAGTGTTTCGGATCAAACACGTAACGTTCATCTGAATGAAGTGTTAAAATTCATTTACGGCCAAACTAAGCAAATACCATTTCCTGATGTACAGAGCCAAGCCAATATGGCTCAAGAAAAAGATGCAGAGAGATGGCAATTAACATGCTGACTTGGGATAAATGCTCGTCAAGACATTATTAAAAAGTAGGAAAGTATTGATTTTCACTTCATACAACATCTTCTCTATAGGGCTACAGAAAAGACCCAGCTAACCAATCATAAATTTAACATTTGGTGCTACTTACAGTAAGAAATCTGAATGAAGTGGACTAATTTATATAATTCCTTTTTAATTAATATAATTCAATTAACAAATCCTGAAAAATCTTTAAGATAACTTTTTTTCTTCTTTCAACTTTGATCTAAGATAACATTAACACGTAAAAAAATATATAAAAGGTCTACTCAGACGTCGCCATGCATATAACTTTCCTATGTATATAGACATTATAACTCCACAGATCTTTAACAAGTACTTAGAATTAACGAATACAATGGCAATCGGCGACGATTTCTTTTCGATGTCCATCAAACAAGAGAACACGACGGTTCCTCCTCCTCCTCATCCCACCGCCACTCCTCCACCAAGAGAAACCGATCTTGCTGATGACAAGACCCAATCTTTACTCAACTCACTTCGTTCCACCTCCTTAACTCCTCCAGAAACCGATATGTGTTTGCGATCCTTGACCAACATAATGACTTGCAGCGAAGACGTTGCTCTGTTTCAAGAAGTGATCTCAAACTTAAACAGAAGCGAGTTTCTAAGGATGGCCTCGTTGCTGACGTCAAACTCCTACGATCACCACTTCTTGGAGATCGCAAGAAACAAGAACGGCTCCATCCGCCTACAGAAACTCCTCGGAAAATCAGTAGACGCCGACATCTTCTTCGTCGCCGCTATCTTGCGCCACTTCCGCCACGTCATGACGGACAAGAACGCGTCCCACGTCGCCACTCAAGCGATGCGAGTAGTTGCCAGCCACGAGGAGAGAATGGCAATGCGCGACCATATTCTCCACCACGCGGTTCTCCTGGCGTGTGACCGATACGGCTGCATCGCGCTCAAAGCAATCATAAGCGACGTGGCGTTTCTCTATTGCAGTATCCCGCTCTTTGATGTAGTCGCGTCCAACGCTCGCGTGCTAAGCTACGATGCTTATGGGAACTCTGTGGTTCAACACGTGCTTAAACATTGTAGCTTGCACAGCACGTATAACGTTGGGGTTAGCCTCCGTGGACATTATGTTGAGCTCTCTTTCACGGAGGGTGGAAGATACATCGTGGAGAAGCTTTTGGAGAGGGATGAGGACACGGAGGTGTTGGTTATGGCAGAGCTTTTGGAGTGCGAAGGAGACGAGTTGGTGAGGCTGGCGACGAGTGTGTACGGGCATTTCGTGGTGGAAACGGCACTGAAAGCCGCGCGGGTGGATTTGTCTAGGGGTTTGGTGAATAAGCTCAAGCCTTTTCTCCCTCTGTTGCGTAGGTCTCAACATGCCAGCACCATTGCAAGAATCTTGGAGTCGGTTTGTTAGGCTTTTGTCCTCTCAAACTAGTTAATGCCATAGTTCCTATTACTAAGATATATGCTGAAAGTTGTCAGATTTTATGGTTGCTTGTCTAGAATTGCCTATACTCTTATGTTTTTTCTAAGTCAAGAATGTGTGTCGCCAGGAACCAAAAAAGCTAGTTGGTGGATTCAATCATTCAGTACTGTAAGGCTTTATTTAAATGAATTGGTGGAACACCAAAAGAAAGAGGAGGAATCAAAATCCATTATCAAAAAAAGTAAGAACTTGCACTGTTCAAGAGATATGAAAAAAAAAAAAAGGAAAAGAGAGACGAACAGTATCAAGAATCCTCTCTTCTATGTTATTAGAATAGTTTTCAAAGCCGAAGCACTCAAAACATAGTATTCGTAAGGACTTTCTCTGTCTCACAGCTTCTACATCAGTAGATCACCTGAAAAACGATCATGAACAAGTGGTTAGTGTTTAGTAACCAGTGTGTATAATAATAACCTTTAGATAATCCGGAAATTTAATGTATGGTTCATAAATGCATCAGGCAAAACACATAGACATGACCATGCCATCTCAAGACACACATCATGCAGACAAATAGGCATCGAGATTTAGGAAAAATGCTACTAGTTAAACACATAAAGTATGATAGTCACACATAGATGCGTTCTAACAAACATTAAAACATATCTGAAATGCGAAACTTATGTTTGATCGAGAGATTAAGACATTACCGCCTGTGTTGTTGGACGAACTTGGAGTTCTTAGCGTCTTCCTCTGCAAAATCAATCAAATAAAAATTAGGGTTTCCACAATCATCAATCCAACAATCAACCATGAGATGCACAATACATAACAGAAAGTCTCGATTATATCACGATCTGATTCCATGGTTCAATTAACGATTGGTTCTGTTATTTCCATAGAAGATCGGTGAGATCTAAAAGACTTACCGGTGAATCCAGCAGTGAGCTTGGTGATGAGGACGCCGGTTACGGCGAATCCGGTGAGAAACGGCCAACAACGTTTCCACTCCCTCTTGAAGAACACTGGCCATGGATCGAACAACCTCATCTCTCTTCTTCTCTCTTTCGCTAAACTTCGGCTCCTGGGGTTGGTGACTGTTTCGCGTTGACGATGAAAAGTGACGACAGGTTACTGATAGAAATGATAGGTATTGGATCTGAAATTCGTTATGGATTCAAAGAGTTATGTAACTAATGGGCCACCCATAACGGCCCAAATTAAATCTCCCCGCTATTTGTCAATAAATCAAATATATTGGGCTGCGTTTGAAAACACAACCTCCTGCGACTGCGTTTCAAGCACTCTTTTGTCTGAAAATGTTAGTTTATTCACATTGACCTACTTGTCTTTGAATACATCATCGCTGATAATTGTGATCCTTGTGTCTGTTGTTTTCATGGATTCAACGCTAGCTGTGTTTTAAAAATGAAAATACTGAAGGTTGTTTTCATACAATATACTTTTATATGATATGCTCATTGCAGATTTGTCTTTGTTAAGACAGGGACAACTACACCAATGATCTCAGCCTAGAAATTTATGTCGTTGGGAAATAATTCTTATTTTATGGCACAAAGTAGGGTTTCGTTTGGATGTACCTTAAAAGTCACTTGACTTTCTAGGTCAACCTAAACTTGTCCTTTTGTTCTACTTTGCTCTGTTTTTTTCCTTTGTGTTTCCAGAACAATAGTTGAACCCATATTGTAATGCCTCCCACTGTCTGGGTTAATGAGTTTCTCACACCTGTTCATTCCACTCGTACATCTCACTGCTATAGCCGGTGTGTCATTTTTTAAAAAGCTCAAAAGATTTGGTTACTTACTTTACAGTCACCATGGAATGTGCTTTAACCTCATTTGATAATTGATTTGAGATAACAATCTGGATTTATGGTATAGTGGGTGTACATTGAAAAGTTCAAAATAACTGATTTGACTTTTATCACATAAGCTTTTCTGGTATTTTGCTCTTATTCGCGAATCATTTTTGGACAGATCATCCACAGGGCCGGCTCAACTATATACTGTGCTAATGGACAAATTTTTTTTCTATGCAATATAATTGATTAATTATAATATTTTGAGCCTTTTTGGTACAAAATAAAATAAAAATATGGACCCTTTTGTTGATAAATTTATTTGGTTTTAAGATAGGTCTTAGGCCTGTGCCTCTCCGGCCTACTCTTAGAGCCGGTACAATCATCCTTCCATCATCTCATTATTTCATGTTAAACATGTTTAAACTTAAAGTTTTATGGATAATTGTAAATAACTGAAAAATAAATACACTTTACTGACATAATAGCCAAATAAAATATTAACTTTCAACATATACCACTTTTTGTGAGACTATATCCATTTATTTATTCAAGGCTAATACAAAATTTCTTTCACATAGGTTAGAAGTGTTTGACAGATTCTACTAAAACTTGCTTTACATGTTTTGATTTTTCTGAGCTCTAGCAACAATCGCTTTTTTTTTTCTTTCTCTGGATCTTGATTTAGCCCCGTCCTCTGGATATAGTAACCGATGCTGATCATTGTGTCTCGTTGCTCTTCTCTGATCGGTTATGATCATTTATCAGACTCTAATTTCTGGGACTATTCATCACAGAACATTGAAAAGGGACCAAATAATATATTTGCTAGAAAGATGATTATATTATAACAGCTTAGATCAATTGAAATGGTCTTTCGAAAAAAGTTTACCTATTGTATGACCAAGAGATTACCATATAGTTTTTTCATTCTTTGAATAATATTAGAAATAAAGTATTCCACATCAAAAATTTAATGAGACTTTAAATAATATATAAATGATCATGGTCAATTAAGTTATCACCAATTAGTTTTTAAATAGGAAATTCATAACAAACCCAAATTTAAACTAGCATCAGATCCCGATCCAAGTAATTCAGTTCGATTCATTATCGATCCAGCTCAAAGTTGGTCTATCAATCATTGTCCAAACATTCTAAAATTGGCGTTTAAAGATCCATCATCTCGAGACGCATACTAAGGATAAATATCTCACATTGGAAGTCGGAAGAGATCCTAAGTAATATATAAGATAGAAAAGTTAATCCACTTATCACAAAATAGTTTTAGGTTAGAATTCCGTTGAACGATTCAACAACGACAATTATATCTAGTCAAAAGGTTAAATATGACATTTATACTCGGTAGGAAAGGTTAATTAACTAATTAGAGGATTATGATTTTTAGGATCTAAGATCCGATATCATATTAATCTAAATAAGTTTCCAACATAAAATCAATTGCTGATAAGTAGATTGATTCTAATTCTTTATATATCTTATATATTAAAAGAGAAGTAATGACTTCGCTTCATGTGTGATTTTTTTTTAATTTGAACCATCACTTAAATTTTTTATTAAATGTATTTTATTAAAACTAATAATACATAAAATATTTAAAATACTTTAATCATAATATCTTTTGATCTTTTCATTTTAACTATAAATATATTTATTTAAAAATTATAATAAATATATTTTAAAAGATTTTTACAAGATATTGATTTTGATATTATCTTTAAACATTTTCATTCGAAAATAGTTTGAAATATTATTATACATTAATATATTCATTTATAGTTTACAAAATGAAAAATAAAAAATTATATCCTATTATCTATTATATAATAATAATCAATCATATTAAAATAATTTTTTTATATTGAGCTAAATATAATAAAATTGTAATAAACTGATAAATTTATATATTTTTATTTCGTAAGGCTAAATATTTATGCTCAAAAATAAAATCTAATATGTTGGTAATACGGGTTTACGTTAGCAAACTATATAATACATGTATATAATTAACATGTATTTACTTAAAGCTAATAATATAAAATCTTTGTAACTATTTTAATCATGATATATTTTTTGTTTTAAACATAAATAAATAAATAAATATATATATTAAATTTTAAAATTCTAATAAATCTGTGTAAAAGTATTTTTATAATAACTTATTTTAAGTTGTCATTTATAGAATTTAAAATTTAAATTATATCATATTTTATTTACTTTATAGTCATATTAATCATGTTAAAAGATAATTATTATATTAAACTAAATATGATAAAATTATATTAAATTGATAAACTTATTTTCATTATAAACTATTTATTTAAAAATATAATATGATGACAGAACAACTTAAAATTAGCAAAATATATAATACATGTTTAAAAATTAACATATATTAGAATTTTGTATATACAATAATATATTATCTGAAATGAATAAACATAAAAAATTGGTAAAAAAATTCAACTTTTAAGTATAGATCAGAATTTACCATTAATTAAATACAAAATAATTTTCAAACATGTTTTCTTATGTATATATTCATTTTCTTAATAACTAAATGCAAATACAATAAGATAAATATATAACAAAAGTGACCAGTAAATATGATTTTAAATAATTGATTACTATAACATATAAATTATTAAATTATTGTACTGAAATGGTTATAAAAACATTTAAGTATAGAATTAATGTTAAAAATATATACCACTTATGTTTATAACATGTAAATTATAAAATTATTGTATTTGAAATATTTATATAAATATTTAAATATATAATTAACCTTTAAAATATATACCACTTATGTTCTAAAATAAATATTTATATATATAAAAGTGAAAACAAACATCCGCGCGGTTACACGGATCAAAATCTAGTACTATTTAAAATTTCACTGAAATTTTGAGGTGTCTTTATCCCCAATAGATAATATAAATAATCAAGATCTTTATTGTGATGTCGATAAACTTACTTTTCGAAGTGATATTCGTGTATATTATAGTACATTTGCTTCGTATGATTGAATTTCTATTTTATATTTGCACACTGAAGACCATTTCTCATGTAGCCACAGCTTGGTTTGACGCCAATGTCCGATTGAGTTTGTTTATATATACGCTGGTCACTAGCGGCTGCTAGTCTCACAAAACTTGGGGGCATTTGTAGTGTTTTGATATTCTTTAGAATTGATTAATTATGGAGACTGCTTGTCGGGCTATGGTGGTGGTATTAGGATCTTTGGCTATTATTCATCTTGTTCAGGCTCAGGATCAACAAGGTATTCACATCTTTACCTGTTAGGCTGTTATATATATTTGTAAACTGGCTAAGGAGTAGGACAAAGCGAATCTCCTGAACTTTTTGTTAGAATAGGTGATCTGTTCCGCTAATGAACTTTTTGATTAATTATCTGATAGTTGACAAAAAGAAGATAAAAAATCTGGTATATATTCGTTAAAATATATTCATGATTTTTGCCATGAGTACAATATTCAAAAAAAGAACAGTGGTAATATTTCATATAAAGCTGATATTTTTTCGTAATCTGTTATAATAATGAAAATGATGGATACAAATTTCAGAAAATAAATATTATACAGTTTATCAAATACACATGCTGGAGTGGAACATATATTGGTGATCTCAAAATTATAGTGCTTGTATGCAAATGGATGTCATATTTTATAAATAAAAGGATGTATAATAAACTATTCATAGATATTTATACTTTTTTTTTGTTTGCAATTTGTTTTGGATGTGAAGGATATTTATTTATTAAACAAACATATCTGTCGGTAATTTTGATGAGAAATGTGATAAATTTATCATTTTTCTTATATTTCACTCATGTTTATTTCATAATTTTTATGTTTATCATTTATTAATTTAGACCCTTTGTGATTTATTCCATTTATAATGAATATTAATTCTATTTGCTCCTTTATAGGTTTTTCCTGATTATTCCAGATAAAAGTGAAACAAATATAACGCACTGTTCACCACTTCTCTTCTTGTCCATGAATGTTAGCAGGGTTCATAAGTTTGGATTGCGGGCTACCCGCAGAAGATTCTCCATATGATGAGCCGTGGAGTGGTTTACCTTTCTCTTCGGACGCAGCATACATCCAGAGTGGAGAGATAGGCCGAATCCAAGCAGACCGTGAGGGCAACTTGTTGAAGCCGTACACAAGGCTGAGATATTTTC